GAAATAAATTGGATTAAAATAAATTTATAATATTTTAAACAAGTTTAGACTTTTGAAAATATAATTTAGTTTAAAATAACAAAATTGTCACCAATAAAATATGCTTTCTTTAAAATCTTAGTCCATCTTTCATGCTTGCTATTATTTTTGAACTATGTAAAAAAATTACCTTTATAATGTTATAAGCTGCAGAACCAGGTTTGGAAAAGACCCAACCCAAATGCTTTTTTTTTTTTTTTTTTTTTTTTCTCCTAACATATTAAAAAAAAAAGAACTTTTTTGTTGTTAATTATTATTGAAAATGTATGTTATATACAGGGATGGAAAGTTTAATTTCAATATTTATAGTTCCTACGCCCAAAATGTCATAATTATATTTGCCATAAGTTTTTTAACATTTTTGGAGCTTCTAAACACCAAAAGCTAGAAATAAGTAGAGATCTTGTAACTTTCAAAATTTCATTTTAATAAATGTAAAAAGAAAAAATGCTGATGTCAAGAAGAGAAATAAAAATACTAATTTAGATGATGGTTAATGATCATCTCATACTTCTGTAAACTTAATGACTTGTTGGCCCAATTATTCTAGAATCTTTTGTTTTTTAAAAGTCAAAACTTCTTTCCACAGAACATGTTTAATGATAACTTTATTTCTACCAATTTAAGTGAAAGATATTGAGGTATAATAGATTAGAAACAACACCTGTATCAAAAATCTTTATCACTATCATAAGGTTAATAAAAGTTTTTCATTCCCTTCATAGTTGTCTTGCATGCACTGGTGCAATAAAAAGAGTATTTTCCACTTTTTTGTATTGTGCAGAGGAAGCTAAGAAATAGTTTAAGAAACAATAGAGTTGAAAAGCTCGTCAGATATACAGTTATTTGAAAGGAAAAGAACTTGATAGGTATAGATATATATTAAATATACATAAAAAACACACTAATAAAGCAAAGACACTAATAAAGCAAACATTCTAGGTCAATGTGTATTATTATATTTACTATTACACCCTCCACAACAATACTACTACTAATAACAATACCCAGATCACAATTTATGATAACTAAGTTTTTGCACAAACTATAAATAAGCTCTTCTCCTTTACTTTAAATGCAAATTTATTTGCAAAGTCAAATAAATTTGCATTTGCAAAGTTTTTTAAATGCAAAAAAAAATGTAATAAAATTTAAAATCTGCATGACATTTATATTTTTATCTTTAAAAACGAAAATAAAAAAAAATAAAAAAAAAAATACATAAGATCTTTCATTTCATCATTTAACAATCAACAAAAATAACAACTAACAACCATTAATTTAACAAAGATAATCAATTCATCATTTAACGTATTTAAAACTATGTACATATATATATATATATATATATATATATATATATATATATATATATATATATATATATATATATATATATATATATATATATATATATATATATATATATATATATATATATATATATATATATATATATATATATGGGCAGGTCATAACCATATTTTTTTTTATATTTTGACAAGCAGCACTATGGGTGTTTATGAATTGGTATAATAAATTATACAAAATATATTAAAAAAATAAATTACAACAATTATTAAACAAAAATTACAAGGGGTTGCACAATTTTCGCATAAATGAAAATTTTTTAAATTTTTTAATTTAATTTTCTTAACAACTTTTACTTTTATTAATTCATGTAACACTAATTTTTAAGTTTTTTGTTGTAAATTATTCAATTTTTATAATTTTAGTATAGGATTTTACATCCTATATTAATTTGAACAATATTACTTTGCAATAATAAAATTAATGTTAATTTGAAACAATATGTACAAGTTACAGTAAATTTTAATATTATTTTATTAAATTCTTTCTAGCCTCTATATTTGTTTTATATTATAAATGTATATTTTTTATTTCTTAGTAATTAAAAGTGGTATATAATTAATAAAAAGCAACTGTACAAGACATATACATATATGGCAGCATTTCATACTCTCAGTAATACTAACAACTTAACAATTTAGGCAAGGTTCTAAATTTTCCATCAGAAATGATACCTACAAAAAGAGATGTAAAATATTGCTTTTATGAATGCAGAAAAGAAGATGCTAAAGGCAAGTTCTGCTCATGAATGTTGTTCATAAGATACAACAGAAAATGAAAATATATGGCGTAAATTTAGTTTTCCAACAATTGAATCATAAGGAATTTTCTTAAAAGTATAGAAAAAGCATCCAATTTTACTTAAATTTGACTTAAAAGAATTGCTAATTTAATGCCAAATTGAAAGCTTTTGACAAAATGTTTGATAAACGTTTGTGCAATTGTTATGATGCAGGAGTAGAAAGAGAGAAATGCAGATGCACTTTTAAAGTGCCAAGAAAAGAATGAGCTGCATTTGTTGGACAAAAACAACACAAAAATCAACTTGAACAACTTGATCATACTTACACATCTACTTAAACAAAAGATGGAAACAAAAAAAAAATAAATTTGTAACAAGGCAACAGCATTTAAATATACATAAAAATGTAGAGAAAGAGATGGATCGCATATTGATGATAATTTCTATAAATCTGAGGGAAGTATCGAATCAGATGAACCTAATGATGAAAATGACAAACTTTATGAATCTGATAATTTCTTAAACAAATCTAATCAAAATAGGATTTTTTATGATGAACTAGCAATTGTGGCAGATTGTTATAGTGTCAGTTGCAGAGCAACTGCTGCTACTGTTAATGCTGCTCTAAAAAACATGGATACTTGTTGCTTTAAAAGACACAGAATACTTAATGAATAAAGTATGCTTGATAGGAAAAAAGTACAAAAAGAAAGACTTCATGTTGGACAAGAAAATGTAAATGGGAAAAAATGTGAAAATTTAAAAATACAAAGTATTGATTTATATAGGAGTATGGAAGAAATGACAATACAATAACAACTACAGAAACAGATAAAGAAGAACATATTAGCATAGCTCTATATAACTGCTGCTAACCAAGCAGCAGTCATATAGATTATCTAACACCTGATAATGGAACTTCTCACTGCATTGCTGATGAAATTTTCCATTTATTATTTGAAACCTGCAATAATGGTTCTTTAAATGCTATATTATGTGGTGCAACTGTAGTAAACATGGATAATATTGGAGGAATGATAAAACTAATAGAAACAGAACTTAATAGACAAACCAAGTGGCTTATTTTCCAACTGAACAAATTAACTTCCATTTAAACATGTGTTTAAGTTAATTGATGGAAAAAATTCTGACCTAGCATTATTTAAAAGAGATATTGGCAAAAAAAATAACAGAAGACAACTAATTTAGCAGTAGTTCCTTTTGAAGAAATAAAAGGTGCTTTTCATATATTTGCTGATAACATCCTCAGTACATTAATCTCAGATCAAAAACATCTTTACAGTATCTGTTTATCTATTTAATCAGGAGAGGTTTCAAATAAAATAATCTAAACGTTCTCCTGGAAACATTCATCATGCTTGGTGACACACAAAAGCAAATCATGTTTTATGTTTCCATATTTCTACAGTAATGCCAACAAAAGAACTCGTTTAGTTGGTTACAATTATTATGCAATGCTGTGCACCAGGATGGTTCCACATTAAATTACATTGTTTGGCAATTGATGACGCTCAAAATTTATATTATCTAACTTATTTAATAAGAAACGCAATTATTGATGCAAAACATAAGGAGGTAATGGAGCAAGTTTTAAAACAAAACTCATATTTTTCCAATACTGAGTTTATATTACCCAACACAATATGCTGCTTATTGAAAATAAAAATTGATCTGGCCTAATATATATATATATATATATATATATATATATATATATATATATATATATATATATATATATATATATATATATATATATATATATATATATATATATATATATATATATATATATATATAAATATATAAATATAATATAACACACTTTTAAAGTCAGTGCAAAAACTTAGTGAACACCCGTTTATTCCAAGCACATTAAAAATGATAGAAACATTTATACTGAAGGCTTTTTTAGGCTTTTTAACTTATAGTCTAAAATGTGGTAAACATAGAATAAATTGTTTATATTTTTTTAATTTAACCATTTGATTATATATATTACAAAATACCCCAAATAAAATAAACCAACAAGCCATCAAATGACACTAATTAAGACAATAACCAACTTATCAACATATGGAAACATGATCTTGAAATCAAGGAAATACCAAATGGAAATGCCAAAAAAATATGATAGGCATGCCAAGTTATGTAAAACAGTTATTCAAATCATGTATTCATTAACATATGTATAATAAACATTCTGTTTTATATTTAACTTTTCATGTTAAAAGATTAATTTCCATTAGTGTATTAAAATTATTACCTTAGTGCGCCTATTTCGTAAAAAATGCAACAAATCTCCATTCTCCATATACTCAACAATTAAACATAAAGGTTTCTTAACTGTTGAACAACCAATCATGTTAACAATATTCTTATGATATCCAATTGATTTCATTAAATCAATTTCTTCACGAAAATCATCTAGTTCTGAACTATTGGCACCATCTGTATTTAGCAAAAAATTAAAAATTAGTAAAAATAATTATTTAAAATGTAGCAAACATAAAATTAATAAAAAATAAGACCTATGAAGCCATATGATACCCAAGGAACGTTATTTGAAAAAAAATCAATATTAAAGAAAATTTAAAATAAAAAAACATTAAAAAAATATTTCCTAATTATTTACGTAGAGTTTTAATTTAATCATTTTTATTTAAAGAATTTATAAACAGTATAAAATAATCTACTATTTCTTCTCATATTTTTTTTCAATAATATAGTGAACAATATAAAGGTAAAAATGTAAACTACAGCAGCATTAAAATTTCATTAGTAAAAAAAAAGAAATTTTGATAACTGTTTGATAAGAAGAATCAAAACTCTCGTTAAAATGTTTTAAATATTTTTAAATTTCTCGTTAAGATACAAAATGTATGATGTCATAACTTATAATTACAAGTATAATGCTAAAATGTTTTAAAGTTTACTAAGCCATAAAAAAGTATCCAAAATATCATTTACATCATCAACAATCTTTGTAAAAGTTATGAATACTTTCTAATACTACACCCAGAAAATACTTTCTAATACTACACCCAGAAAAGTGATGATTTCAATGCTTTAAAATCAGCTATCTGTATTAAAAGTTTTGTACCATACATATCAGCGATAGTAGGGCTAGTTGCAACAAAATTTTAAAAACTATGTTTATCGCTTATAACTTTGATTATTTCTTTTCCAGGGTTATAAAATAATTAAAGATTTTAGTGACGTGTTGATCCAACATTGATAAATATAATATAAAACTTAGTTATTCCATAATAGTGAAAAGAAAAAAAAAAAAAAAAAACCTTGCTATGTAACCCTCATCAAGATAAGTGTCAACAATGAACAAGATAAGTTGCATCATAATACTTTGAAAGTCTTGCAGAGTTCACAGAAAAATTACTAGGTAATGTTAATTAACTGTACTTTCTATTTGGCAACAAAAATTTTATAACTACAATAAAATAAAGTAATCTTTTTATTGAGCAGCATTACTTTTATTAAGACTTCACATATACCTGACTTGTTTAGTAAACTGATAATTACATTCAAAGACTTCAAAGACTGAAGAAAAAAAAAATAACGAGAATTATTATTATTTAAATTAATTTATTATTTTAACTCCTAAGTGTTTTTTTTTTTTTAAATAATTTTCTCAGTAAATAAACAATAAACTAGTTTAGAAAAATGCAAGATAAATTTTTTGAACATTTAAGTTCTGTGTTTAGGATATAAAAACACAAATTAAATTTTAATTGAAAAAATAATTTATACCTAAAAAAACAATTTTTAAACAAAATTACTTAAAAAATAAAAATCAAACTTAGATATTAATGTTAATTACATTTTAATTCAAAAACTGCATCTCTTAAATGTTTTTTTTTTTTTTATTGATGCAAAAACATTAGCAGCTTTTCAATTACTTGAACATTTTCTAGATTTCTTCAACAAAAAAAAAAAACTTCCATTACTTTAGAAATAACTAAAAAAAGGTGTAAAATCAATAAAACTAGCAGTTCTTTTATGATTTAACTTGAGCAACTTATAACATCAGCATCATTTGATGCAACTTATAACATCTGCAACATTTGATGCAACTTATAACATCTGCATCATTTGATGCAACTTATAACATCTGCATCACTTGATGCAACTTATAACATCAGTATCATGATTACTCTAAATCAATGTATATATTTTTCACACTAATTAAATCTAACTTTTTAAAGCATTTTTGTGTTTGAAAGATCCTTTAAACTTAGAGTTATATAATCATTATTTTATCATGGTTTTATAAGTTTACAGTAAAGCCTTGAAAAATTTTTAAATAAAAATTAGAATTTTATATGAAAAAAATTGGAACCATCATTGACTTTTGAAATTTTAATTTACTATAAGTTTTTTTATAGCTTAGAATTATAGCTAAATAACTTAAAAAATAATTAGCAATAATATATAAAAACTATTTTTTTTTAAATCCGTTGTTGCAACTTAACCCTGTTGCAACTAGCCCCAGCATGTTTATAACAATATTTTGTCGTTAACAATATTTTTATATTGTTAATGACATAAAATCATAAAAAATTGATACTTTTACTTAAAGTGTAAAAATTATTTAAAAAATAAAACTAAAAATTTCCCAATTTTACAGTTATTATGAAAACTATATGATAAAGCAATATGATGTGCTACATACCATCTAAGTAAGACCATAAAAATAAATAAATAAGACCATAAAAATAAATAAATAAGACCATAAAAATAAATAAGTATGACCATAGAACTTGAAGTTTTAGCGACATTTTAACATCTGACTAATAACACAAGTACCATTCGCATCAAAACCAACTACTTTTTTTTTTGCATTTATGAATTTCTATATTCTATTAAAATATTTTATTTTTCTGTAATTTATTTAAATAACTTAATGTTATAAATAAATATTAATGTTATAAATATTCTATTATATAGAATCATTATTTTTGTAAATTATTTAAATAATTCACTGTAATTTTCAATTTCAATATTCTATTTTATAGAGTTCACTTTCATGTAGAAAACATTTTATTTTAATTTAAATAATTTTTACTTTATAAGCTCATTTAAAGTTTTCTTTTGCAGCTCATGGTGACAGAATATGAAACATTTTTTTAACCTCTTGTTTCCCCATCTGTGTTTATTTGTGAAAATATGCTTACTACATAAGTAAAAACAAGGTAACAAAACCAGGTCGTGAACACACTTCACCAAGTTTTGATAATTTATTTTAAAAAAGCAGTGGTCAAGCACTTATAGCTTGTTATTTTTAAATTTAATCGAAAAACTTAAACTTGATATGACATTAAGATGACAGGTGAAGTTGAAGTTAAAAAAAAAAATGTTTTTATTTGTCACAGTAGTGACATAAATAAAAACATTGTTAGATCACAAAAAATGCACAAACACACAATAGAACCAGAGTTGCAAAGGGTTCACAAAAAAACAGTGAGTAGTTATGTAAAGTTATCAAGATCAAGAGAAATAAAAAGTTGTGATAATAAAAAGAAATTTAAATCTTAAAAATTTTGACCAATAGGCTGGCAATTCAAAATTTTATATTGGAAAATTATTTGATTGAAACAATAAACTTTTAAAAATGTCTTAAATAGAGTCTTAAAAAATTGACATTGGAGTAAACAAATTTAAATTATTAACTTTTTTTTTTTTAGAAAATCTACATTTTTTTTAACAATTTTTATTGTAGAAATATTAAAAAAAATCAATCAGGTTTTTAAACTTCAATCATTTTGAGTTGTCAGAACAGCCAATTAAGATTATAAAAAAACTACACCTTACAACTACACCAGGTTACGCCTAAGGTTATGCCTAAGGTTACACCTAGGTAACACTATGTTTTTTTTTTGATTAATTTAATTTTTAAAATAGAAAAAGCAACAGTTTTTTTTTTGATTCAAGTAAACAAACTAAATTTTATTGTACATACCATTATTTTAGGATTCGAATCTGATGTATTTTATACAGGTATTTGGTTACCGGCATATTTTATATAAAAATTACTTTTCATAATGTTGATGAATTTAAGTACCATAATGGCACTATCATACCAATATATATTTTTAAAAAAAAGGTATTACCTTTTAGGCTATTTACAAATATAGCACAATATTATATTACCTAAACATCTAATAATAAGGATGAAAATAATAATAGGGTGAGATATCAATGCCAGAGGAAAATCACAAAAAGTTCATAGCATAAACACATAACTACACAATAGATAAACTTAACAGAAATAAAAAAAAAAAAAAAAAATTAAAATAACGGAACAAGTATCTTTTTTTTGTTTATACTTTTATTTTGTTTGAGAAATCTTTTAATGCCCTCTCTGTTTTGTTTTTTTATAGTCTTTATTATTTTATTTATTTATTTAGCAACTTAATGCTAGTTTAGTAACTTTTACAAAATAAATGCTCACTATTACAAAATAAAAGTTGATTATTCTTAAGTGTTTGAAGCAGTTTTTTTTATTGAATTTTTCCTAGTCCAGCTTAACAAATCCACAAGTTACTTCCTGGTATAGTTTCAAACCAAACACAAACAATGACTTCTGCCCTGCTCTATTGTATTGGCTGCTTTTATGAAAATGACTAGCTTGTCTAGTGTAATGTTGATGTAACTCGCTATTTTTTGAATAGAACGGTTTAAATACATGATTTTCAGTTGATGCAACGTTGTGAATGAAACAGAGCGATTTAAAAATTATAATATTTTTTACACCAATCCAACCAAGCAATTTCAACATTTCTGTTTTATAAGTTGACAGTCAAATTTTAATATAATTCTTATTGCTTTGTTTTGAAGTTTTTCTAGGAAAGTTTTTAGTGTCGACATCAAGAAAAATAGAAGCACAGTATTCATAGTGGGGAGCAATTATAGTTTGAAAGATTATCTTTTTGGTCGATTGAGTTAAATATTTGCTTATTCTACCAAGAATAAACAAACACTTAATTCAATTTCTTTGCAATTTTATTGGAGATATATTTGATATGTTCTGTAAAATTAAGTTAGTAATCAATAATCCCTAAACACTTCACGCTATCACCAAACTCAATGACTACGTCATCCAATATCACTTTTATGTTATTGTTATGATTTGTTAAACTATTTTTTTTTTTTTTATGAATTAACAATAAGCATTGCCATGGACTTAAGAGTATTCAATTTAACAATAAGCATTGCTATGGACTTAAGAGAATTTAATTTAACAATAAACATTGCCATGGAGAGTATTTAATTTAAGTTTGTTATTACTCAGTCATTTACAAAGTATTTTTAAGTTTTGATTTAAAAATAGTTTCTTCAAAGTTTGTACCCTATATACAAACCAATATATCATCAGCATTTACAAAAGAATACTCGATTTTTGATGCAATATTGTTCATGTAAGTAGGTCCAAG